AACACGTTCACAAGTCTGTCACTGACCGGCACAGTGCAGTGTCAACGTCCGCACGCCAAACAACGGCGAGCGGAATGATGGCTCAGAAGCGTGGGTTGTAGTCGTTCGTTCCGACGACGGCCGCGTGATTCTCATTGGACGTGCGATCACGCGGAGCCCATGTGAAAACATGTCAAGGCAGGCCCAGCAAAGAGACACGAACGCACTTGGATAAGTAGGTCAGCAGCGCACATTCACGCACAGACACACATGTCAATTTACAAGTGTCAGAAAGGACGGCCTCTGTGGCAAGGTGAGTGGCGGGTACGAATAAGCGAAACAACCGGAGAACAAAAGTACATAGGCGGAGTAAGCAGATGAATGGGGGAATTATCATAAGATCAAGTTAGATTCAACAGTCATCTTTCGTTTCTTTTTTCGCGTTCTTCAAAGCTTTGAAACTTAAGTGCTGGAATTAAAGCGGCCGAATTTTATGTGTGATGAGGTACTTATGATATGGATATAGAAGCTGTTGCGCTGTGGGCATGCGGCCAAGTAAATTCCTCCAGCATCAGGGGCCAGAATCGGCGCTACTGGGTTAAGCACAGCGATACCAAGACCGAAAAACTCGCACCCACCGCGGGTGATGAAATGAATGGCGAATACCCAAGAGATTCATATGTTGAGTGTCCCCCAAATGCATTTCACACCCGAGAAATACGGTCGCTGGTGGCCGTTATCTACCAAAGTTGACCGACATTTTCACACCGTGATTGCGGTCCGTTGAGTCAACACGTTAAGGGCAAAAAACAGCGAATACCACCTAGTTCATAGCCGGTTTGGGATCGGGTTATGCGTGGCGAAGCGGAACTGTTTTCGTGCTTACTTCTAGCACCGATGTGATCCAAATTCCGCGCCCCTAGAGGGCCAAAATCTGACATATATGCTTGCACTTGAGAAAAGATTTTGAGTATTGATAGGACACTCCAAGGTCCACCTAGGGATGATGGAAGAAGAAATGTCTAGAAGTTCATAAATTTCGTTGTTTCAATCTACACGTGGCAGCCCGGAGCATTACAACGCGAGATATTGCCGGTGTATTGTAGCGCTATCATAGACCACCTTACTTCAAGCAATCTGATATCTCCAGTTCAACACGGATTTCTCCCAAACCGTTCTTGCGTGAAAAACATGCTCGTGTTTATGGACAGCTTAACCCAAGCTAAGGACGAAGGACTCACATCGGATGCCATATTTTTCGACTTCTCAAAAGCATTTGATAGGGTCCCACACGTCCCGCTGCTCCACAAACTCGAGTCTTACGGGATTCAAGGGAAAATC